GTCATTTATAAGGATCTGCACACAAAAATTCACAACAACCAATTTTATTGTAATGAATTTAAGTCTAAGAGTGGGCCACACAGTTGCTGCCTCACAACACTGGGGCCCTGGGTACACTTCCTGGGGTGCTACCTAAATGGAGCTTGTAGGTTCTCCTCATGTTCACAATTGTTTTCATCAAAGTGCTCCAGTTTCTTCCCATTGTCCAAAGTGAGACTGGTAAGTTTATAGGCTTCTGTAAATTGGCACTGGTTTGAGTGTGTGTAAATATGTCTCTATGTGCCCTGTTGTCATCTCAACCAGGGTGTTCCCTGCCTTCTGTCCAATGCTTCAGAATTCTTCAGGGTCCGGGTCACCATGACCCTGAATTGGATAAGCGGTTGAAAGTGATGTGATTATGTGACAGGAAGCTCCAGTGTTCGCCTTTTCAGGTCCCAACAAAAAGGAAATAGCAATCAAAAACCCCCAACTACCACCAGCACTCTACATGCCCTTTTATGAGAATTACTATATTAATCTAATTAATTACCTAATTATCACCCACTGTGTCACTATTTACAATAGTTAAATGCCATACAGTGTTCTGTAGTGGTACGTCAGAGGCAATTTCACCCTTTTATTAACATAGCCTTCCGCCCTGACTACTTGATTATTCAACCAAGCACTTTTCGAAAAGAGTAAGGGTGTTAAGCTCACTGTTCTGGCTAAATCCTGCTCTGGTCATCGATAAGGCACTTTAGATTGACGAAGAAAGTCCTATCCTATTTGTAAACTGCTCTTGGATCCTTTGAAATTAAAAGTGTTGTATAAATGCATTAAGGGGTAAACGTTCAAAATCCTGAAATGCATTGACAAATTCAGAACAATGGAAGACTTTAGCATCAGGTGAATCTGCTGCTTTGGTCCTTGGAGGTGAAGAAGTTTTTTGTTCTTGTAACTTATGTTATATATAGGAAGAAATGACAAATTATTAAAACTGTTCACAAAGAAAACAAACAGAAAGACGTGGAAACTAAGGGGAAGCACAATCAAAATAAAAATAAAAAAACAGGAGGAAAACTACTAACAATATGCTTCCAGGAATCAGTTAGATAAGATCCTTGGATCAGTTATCTACTAATAACCAGTTAATGATGGGTCAAATGGCCTCCCCCCATTTTAAACTTATTTACTGTCAATTTCTAGTGATCTGAAATGCAAAGGCTAAAACACACGATAGGGTAACCCAACATTTTTTGCACTTTTTAAAATCTGGTTCATTCATTACTGGTTTTCACAGCCCATAATCCAAAAATTTAATTTGTCTGTCACCTCAGATTACAACCATGAATTTAACAACAAAATAGTAGGGAAAGTGACTATGAACGCTTTTCTTAAATGAGCCCAGCTCAGTCACTTGCCTCTCCTCACAATGCTCAGCCAACAATGGAAAACCGGTGCAGCTCTGAGCTGCAACACTGAGAATTCCAGGCAAACTCAAGCCACAGAGGTCACTGTCACTAAGCAAATCAAGGAACCATTGGTGGACTAGTATGGACTTTAGGGTTCAGCTTGTGTTGTCAACAAGTGGATTTGGTGGCTAAGCATTTTGGAAGTCACAAGTCCAACATTTCCTTAAATGTAAGTGAACCACCATACACCCTGTCTAATACTCTAGTGGTGAGAAGCCTTGTGACTATATGTCCTGAAGTCAGATGATGTGGGGCTTCAAGCATGTCGAAGATTATGGCTCAATTCATGCAGTACAGGGGTTGCTGCTGCAAGCTGAGGTGAAAAGAAGCTAAAGATTCCAAATATGGCAAATGCAAAATTAAAAATACAAAGCAGCTGTTAAAAAGCCGGTGCTTACATCTGCTGGCAGGATTAGAAAATACCTTGCCAGTCCTGCAGGACAACCACACATACAACTGGAACAACTAGTCACAGAGCTGTCAGATATAAGCAGAGCTGGCATGTCTGCGAGCAAAACTCCTTGATCACTGCGATGGTAACTGCCTCTACTCGTTCTTTAACAACTGTCAACAACTCAATTAACTTCAGAGGCCTTATGCAAAATTATTTTACAAGGATGCTCTTAATCTAAATTTTACTTGGGCTTGAGCGAGAGACCAGTCACAGCAATCCCTGCACTAAGATGATGGAGTCGTAAGAGGTGCTCTTTCATCTCTTCTAATAACAGAGCATACCTCACTTCCTTCAAAAACAAATTCACAATGCTGTCAACACACTTTCCACTGGAACTATCAATTTCATGTCCAGCCTTTGAGACCATTTCTACTAAACTTATCAGCAGCCATATCACCCTGCAACTCACAACTGGCAACCCACTGACGCTAAGTGGGTGTGAGCCTTGTCAGTACCTGGATAGGAGACCTCCTGGGAAAAACTATGGTTGCTGTTGGAAGAGGTGTAAGTGAGGCCAGCAGGGGGCGCTCACCCTGCGGTCTATGTGGGTCCTAATGCCCCAGTATAGTGATGGGGACACTATACTGTAAACAGGCGCCGTCCTTCGGATGAGACATAAAACCTAGGTCCTGACTCTCTGTGGTCATTAAAAATCCCAGGGCGTTTCTCGAAAAGAGTAGGGGTGTAACCCCGGCGTCCTGGCCAAATTTCCCATTGGCCC